AAATAGTCAAAAGTGTAATAAGCCTACTACATACGAGTTATCCATCATTCAGAATGTACAAATGTATTAATAATAATAATAGGGATTGACCATTGTATGTAAATCTCATACTAATATTAAAATTGGTATTAATTTAAGTATTAGCACAGCATTTCATTCAGGGTATTTTTCTATCCCTCCCGTCATTACACAAGGCCTAAGGATTCTATAGGCCTAACATAGATTTTTTTTTTCAAATTAATATTAATCAAATACATTTAGAAAATTTCAATACCTGATATTTGTAGTGTTAGAAAAAATACCTTTTATAAACATTTTGTTTATTTAAAATATTACATGATGATATAATTTTTTTAACGTTACAACTTACAGGTCATCTAATTTACTTACTCATCTTTTCCCTTCCTCTTATTAATTTATCCATTGCGTATTGCTAAATTGGCATTGGTAACTGGTGCCACCTTTCGACAGTTTTGAAAATTGAAGAAAGTAAGTTTTCTTTTTTTGAAAAAAGCTTACCACTAATGTAGTGGTTTTAGAAGGGGCCGAGTTTTGGGGCACAATGCTAGGTAGAAGAACCAAACCAGGAGGAATCCAGTCCTGCAAGGTGTACGCTGCTTAGAATTCCAATAAAACAAGACCTAACGACCGTAAATTGCCGGTAATCTCAACCTTTAGGATGTTTCTTTTTTATACCCTGATGTTATCTTTGAAAAAATGAGCACTTACGTATCTTTAAACAAAACATATTATTAAAAAAAAAAAAACACCTTAAAGTTTATCAACGTGCTAACTGTCGGACACATAATGTTCGATAGGCGTTGATTAGTACAACATTTAGCGAACATCAAATGAATAACAATAAAGAATTTCTTGTGCCCCATCTTTCTTTCATAAGTACAAACTTAAGTGTATTTTTTGAATGCTATAAAACTTATGATCCATAAAAGCGATCAAAATAATATGAAAATTAGTGTCATTTGGCAACTAAAGTTTATTTAAAAAAACAAAAAAAAAACGATGATGTACTTGTTATCTTAGATTTATTTTATTACATTAGATCTATTCAATAGAAAATCTAAAACCACCAAAAAATAAACTAATCATATTCTAAGATAATGTTATAACACCATTATTACAGCCACTAGATATGTGTAATTCAAATATAATTAACAACTTTAATACAGATTACATGTTTACCTATACATTCATCCGCGATTAGTATTTTTGTTTTTATAAAATATTTTGGTACGAATTAGGATTTTTTTAAAACAAAGTTAATATTCACTTAATAGTTTGTATACAAAACGTCACTGAAACCTTTAAAACTGCTGCTGGTAGAAAATGATAAAATTTAAGCTGGACAGGATGTGATTTTCAGTTTTTAGTTTTACAAACACGGTCGAACTTCCTTGTGCTGGACATGAAGCTAAAAAAAAGTCGCATCTTAAAAATTCAAAATCGAAGTCACCCATTTTTAATACAAATTTAATTATTTTATTAGAAATAGTGAATAATTAATAGTTATGAATAGGTTGACTTATCAATGAAAAAGCATCATTAAGCCTAAATGAAAACCCAAAAAATACGTTAAGAAATAACTCAAGATCACACAATAAAAGTGATTTGTCGTGAACTTGAGAAAAGAAAAGGGGTTCAATGTTTTAATTAGTAAAAAATAAAAAATAATAATAAGAATGATTAAATTAAAAAAGTGGATTGTTAAAACTTTTTTGTTTGGAGCACCTCATGATTCAGTTCACGACAATAAACGTCAAGTACGTGCCAACTGTTGAATAACAAAACGAAATATATAAACTCAAATAAAACACATAAAAGCTACCACAAGGGCCGTTAAAAGATAAAATACTAATATGTAATTACACTTACCCATTCTACTCACAAAACTAATACAACTTTATACAAGTATATACTGTCTAATAATTAATACATTAAATGTGTAAGTATAAAAAACTCGTATGTGATGTATTGGTTTGATATTATTTTATTATAAAAAATATTAAAAGGTGTTTTTGTTTCATTTTCTAGTTAAATAGATGATATAAAATTTTTAATACGAAAAAAAAAACACAAAACATTCTGATATCTAAACAGAATTCTGGTCTTTAGTGTTTCCTTAATGTGATTACAAAAAAAAAAAATCTTAAAAATTATGTTTTTTGGTGTGAGCGCCTTTTTCATCCTGGTGAAAAGCAGGATTATAATTAATTATACATGTCATAAGACGTTAGTGTTAAGCCTTTTATATTTTCTAACGCTGCATTCTTTATCTAGTTCCTTAGGGACTTGCAAGAATTATAAGAATGTATAATGATTTAATTCTAATTAAATCATGTCCGCCACATCAATTATCGCGACGCGTTTCGCTCGATCCAGAGCTCATCAGGCTAGCTGGAAATCACCACACACACAAAATAATAGTTGTCCGAACATTATTTATATAAGCTATTTGTTATAACAGCAATTTTTATGGTGTGAACGCCTTTTCCATTCAGGCGACGCATTATTATATTTAATTATACCCGTTTTAAAACATCAGCTTTAGGCTTATTAATTTTTTAAAACTGCATTCTTTATCTAGTGTCAAAGATATAATAGGCCTAATATTGATGTCTTATGACAAGTATAATTAGTTAAAAGTATGTTTTGTTTGCTTTTTTTTTAAAGTTGAGGGTACAATAAATAATTGGTACTAAACGTCAAACCTCTAAGTGGTCGTCTTACGAAACAATGAATTAATTATAATTACATACTTTACCTAAAAATCTTGTGGTGTATCTCTTCTAGCATATACTTTGTACGTACATTCATGGCACAAAAGCACGCACCCATTATTTCTTTCTGTGCGCGCATGCGCCTTAAGTTTTCTTGTTTTTTGAGTTTGAGATTAATTCTTACGCTATTATGTGCGTGAATGTATTACGTTTTAAGAAAACAATCAAAAAACAAAAAAAGCGATTAATAAATTATATCTTGCTCTCGACATGTTTGATTATGAACACACTTTTTGTTTAGCTTATTACTGTGTTCGAAGAAGGCAACGTTTTTTACACGATCATAAATCACATGCAGATGACAGCGAGTCATTACACTATCGTATAATACAGAACAAAGTATTATTTGTACCTAAAACTTTTCAACTATTAGTTACTTCCACTTTGTTGTCATTATAGAATATATCTAGTACAAATTAAGATAAATCTTAGGCATATGTTGTTTAAAGAAAATTTTAGGCAGTGAAGAAAAGACACTTGAATAATGTTCAATGAACAGGGGGCAACTGTTGCCTTCTAATTGTTGACTTTTAAGGCGTTTGGAATTCCAACCTGAGGCCTACTTCTGATATGTTGTGGAGGGATACTGGAAAATGGCATTGTTTCTTCCCCCCCCCCAAAAAAAACAACACACACAAAAAATGGTACCCCCTCCCCACTGTATTATTATCACTGTATTTATATTGGTGTTATTGTTATTACCAGTGTAATTTTTAGTGTGATATTTTTTCCTTATTTTTTAACATTTAAGAAATTTCAACCTCACAACTTCATTTCATGTCACACTTTAAAGTGCTTAGGACTTATACTTTTTCTTAGCATTTCGTCCATATGATTGTTTGTATTAAGCTGATACCATTTTTACCAGACACCGCTGTGGATCAGAAGGTCGCAGACATTAAAAAAAAAATCTCACCTTGGAATTCTAAACGTCATCCATATGTAAAACATGCAGGCAGATGTTATCAATAAATAATATTTCTGTCTTAGATATAAAGTTTCACTACTTAAAACTTCATAAAATCAAATTATCGTCCGAGTTTTCGAAAACCAAATCTTTCAATTTTCAAAACGCTTGTATTATTTCATCGTCATAAAAGTTTTAGAATTACTTGTTACCCTGGCCGTAGCTAGAATGAAGACTTACCCGAGGTCTAAACATCAACAAGTACATAGGGCCAGCCTTACATATCGTAAACCTTTTCATTATGGGTGTAAAATTAAATAGTACTGTTGCGTCATCGAGATCACGTGACAATTCTCACGCTCTCTTGTTTCTAGTACTATCCCGTATCTTGGCGAATGGT